CTGTTTTCGGGGTGGCCGCTGGGTGGCCCCGCAGCCCCGCGCGATGCGGTGCCGAGCAGGAGAGCAGGGTGGGTGCTGGGGGCACAGCCAGGACCCTGCTCCCAGGTTTAGCACCTTCACCCCCAGCCAGGCCCCAGCTGCCCCGGGAGGGTCCTGCAGCAGCCCCAGCCCCACTCCCCTCCGCCGGGGGCTTCTCTGGCTCGCAGGGACCTGCGGGGCAGGACTGGAGGGGAGGAGGGGGGTGCTGGGGTTCACCCCGCTTGCAATGAAGCGAGGTGGCTGCCAGGAGTACCATGGTCTGCAGGGCATGCTGGCCCACCCTGTGCCCCCAAATGCCCCCAGGAGGGCACCAGTAACGCAGCAGAGACCCCCACAGGGAGCCCACAGCCCAGCTTGCCCTGGGACCCCCATTCCTCAGCCCACCCAGCCCCCTGGGTCATGCTGGGGGGGCCAGGGGCTGCCCACAGGGCAGGAGGCCTGGGCGCAGACGGCTGGTGTGGACACTGACACTATTTGTTAGTACTCTGAGGTTTTTAAATTTCATTTATGTTTATTTCTGTGGTGTGAATCGCTGCCGCTCGGGTGCTGCCCATCCACCCCCGGCCCCCGGCCGCAGCCCCAGCTCCCTCCCCCCATGCTGCTGGGGCCAGGCCAGCCAGGGAACAGGGGGAGCACAACCACCACCAGTTCGGCCAACACGCTGCTGGGGCCCTGGGGAGCAGCTCCATGCAGAGCTTTTTGGTGCAGTCGAGGGGAACAGAGGCACCAGACTCTGGCTGGGGCATGGACCCTGGCTGGGGCATGGACCAGGCAGCAGCAGTTACAGCCAAACACTGCGACCAGGACATTTTTTTTTGTTTTCCCCAAGGGGACAAACCACAGCTGGTACACAGCCCCAGGCAGCAGGATGTGGCCTGAACCACAGCTGCTCTTCTGGAACCCTGAGCTACAACAGAAAAGCAAGCATGGTGCCGTTACTTAGCCCAAAAAGCACAGAAAAGAGAGAGAGGTGACCAGGCTCAAGGGATAACCCTCCCCAGGCTGCTGCCTGCACATCCATGTGCTTTGTGGCATGGGGACAGTGCAGGGGGACATGGGGAGCTCAGCACCATCCCAGCGGCTGAGCCAGGCTGCAGCTGGGACCAGCACAGCTGATGCTACATAGAGTTGGCTGGGGGTGCAAACTGAGTGCACGTGGAAGAAATGAGGAAAGGCACCGTGATGCTGGGGCACTGCTTTTCACCGTCCCGAGCCACAGCAGTGCCAGAAACGTGGCTGCAAGAAGCAGAGGGCTGCCGGGTTGCTCAAGTGGTGTCCTCGCCCCACGAAGCCACGCGCTGGCTCCTGCCTGCTGGCAGCGAGCGTAGCTGCCCTGTCCCCCCAGGAGACTGCTCCTGTACCCACGGGAACCACATCTGTCCAGTGCACAAGGGGACTCTCCAAGCAGGCAGAGCTTCACCAGCAGAGGCCACAGAGGAGAGCATGGCTCAGCCTTAAGTTCAAGCAGCCACTCCCAAAATTCTCTTGGCCTGATGAGCACCTAACAGTTCACAGACTCGCCGGGCAGAGAGTCCCATTTCTCCACGTTCAGTGTATGGAGGGGTCGCCGGCTCCTGCGAGACGACCCGCCGAGGTAAGGAGGAGAGGTTTGCTGTGGAAAGCACATCCCTGCAGTTACAGTGGGGTGACGGACAACTGGAGGCAGTCGAGGGATTGTTAAATTACACGCAGACACACTTGCACACACAGACACACACAAGCTCTTCTGTAAACCCAACTCCAGAAGGTCCCATGGATCCTCGGCTGATCCCATGGCCAGTGCTGGATGCGGCATCCTTACATGTTCCCGCGGTATGTGATGTTGGTGAAGGTGGATGTAGCCTCTTTGTATAAAGGGTTGTGGGCCTGGAAGAAGAAGAAGGAAAAAGAGCATCACCACTTTGTGCTTGGCATCAGCATTCGCTCTGCTTTAGAGCTGGGGAAACTGAGGCACCGTTTCAGCATTGAGTGGTGGGTCCGTGTCTCTGCTCAAGGCTTTGGCTGCAGTTTAATGGCTGCCCATGAGGTTTCATGGAAGAGGGCAGGGAAAAGCTTCCATAGAGGAGAGGAAAGGCAGCAGGAGCTCAGGAGCAGAGGGGCCTCCTGGAAGAGCCACCCCATCCCACCCCATCCCTTCCCTCTGGGGAAGTGAAGGAGGGGTGGAGGACAGGCACCGGTGCCATCCCATCCCCCTCCCTCGTGCTCCAGGTGCCTCAGACCTTCCAGCATCCCGTGGTGGGAGGGACCTTCCAGCATCCCGTGGCGGGAGGGACCTTCCACCTCACTCACGGGATGGAAACACTGGTGGGGGCAGTGAGTCAGAGGGTCATGCTGGTGACAAGTGCTTGGGATACGCTGGAGATGGGAAAATCATCTGGGACATCTGCTATTGCCTGTGCACAGCCCCTGGGAGTGCAGTGGGCTCGGGAAGGGGTGTCCAGGCTGGCAGTGCCTCCCGGAGTCCTGCCTGTGACACTGTGCCATGCTTCAGAGAGGGATGGGGCAAGCTGGTCCCCAAGGACCATGCCCTGGGACCACAGACGGCAACTGGGCTCTTGTGCTGGATGCACTGGGATCTGGATCCAGTCAACCCAGGGGCTGTGGGATTCAGGGACTCCTGCCTAGCACACCCAACCCGCTGGCCCTCACCGTGTCCCACTTGGCCCTGGCCTTCTCCTCCTCGAAGCGAGCAAACTCCCGGCGGTCATGGATGGTGATGAGGAGCTTCCAGATGAGCAGGGCAGCGAGGCCAATGAGCAGGATGGCGCCCATCACCGAGAGCAGGACCACCAGGATGTCCGGCCCCTTCGGGCAGTCTGGCAGAGGGAAGAGGGCAGAGTTAGGGGAGGCTCAGCACCCCCAAGGCAATTAAAAGCAGCTCTGGGACTGCCTGGCCATGTGTACAAGGAGCTCCTCTGGTCTCAGGAGGGTTTCATCCTCCCCTGTTAGGGAGCAGAAGCCTCCCCCCTTCAGCACAGCAGGCTCTAAAAAGAAGGGTGCAGGTGCTGAGATCTCTGAGCTCTGAGGTGGGGGTCTGCACCCAAGTCTGGAGCAGTGCAGGTCAGGGGTGTCACAAGTCCCACCCACGCTGGGTGATGACACTGGGGACCAAGTCCTTGGGCTGGTGGAAGTTCATGCCCAAACCACCAGCCCGGCTGACGCCCTGTACCACCGTTGCTCTCCGGCTGCGTGCCAATGCTGCCCTGCAAACCGGGACAGTGAGATACGGTGCGAACCCTGGCAGCCACCCTGCTCCCCCCGCACGCCGCCCGGGGCTGCACAGCCCTCGCCTGCCTCCCCCCCGGGTGCAGGGGCCAGGAGGGTGGGCTGCAGCCCTGCTGATGGCAGGCAGCTGTAGTGAGAGCTGGCAGCTGCCTTCGTGGCCCTGCTTTTGGAGGGTCTGCGGCCATGCAGCCCCCAGCTCAGCTGGAAATCAGATCTTGAGGTCACTGGAGACCCTGGGGCTGCTCTGCATGGTTTGGGGGCTGCCGTATCCCAGCCCTGGGGCGCAGCCACAGCATTGCTCCCGCCTGGCTAACAGGAGCCGGCTCTTGTCTTCTTCTTGAGAAAAATCACACCCATGGCATCAGAAACAGGATCAGGGCAGTGGAAAGGTTGAACCCCCATCCTTGGCCTCAGCTGGGGGGTGAAATAACCGAGCAACACGGTGAGGAAATGTGAGACAGAGGCAGGAAATCATGGCCCCGGTGGCATGGAGCAGGGAACAAAGCAGCTCTTTAACCCCCCTCAGCCCCCGACCGCCGAGCCTGGCTGAGGTGGGAGGCACACAGAAGACTCGAAATCCACCCATTTCGCACAGAAACCCAACGCAGCATGCCCCCCCAGCCCGACCACAGCAGCTGGGTCTTACCTGGCTCCTCGATAACGTAGAGGATGGATTTGCCGCTGGAGTCCTCGTAGTACTGGAACCGCACCACGCAGTCGTCCTCGTCCTTGTAGGTGCAGTTCACGGCGTCCTTGCCCCGGTCACCTGCCAGAGCGAGCGGCTCAGAGCCCCCCACGCCAGGGGATGCACACACAGAGGGGAAGCAGACAGCACACGCAGGCCCCCCGTTTCCACATGTTAGGGCAGGGGTTTGGGGCTCCTCTCTTACCCAGTTCCTGCACCGTCTCGATCTCATCACGGCACATGCGGCTGCAGGATTGCTGCTCCATCAGCACTCCCCGCTCAAACTTCTTGCACTCCACGCACTCCCTGAGGAAGAGGAGGGAGATACTGTGAGCTTCTCCATGCTCTCCCCGGGGAAACAGTCACACTTTCCAGTCCTAGGCTGCAGAAATCGCTGCAATCCCAACGCAGCCAGGATGCAGCCGGTGAGAGCTCCTGCCAGCACCTCCGCCGGCTCCCCGACGGGGTACGTCCCCGTCCCACCTCTCTGCCCTCTCTCACTTTTTGATGGTGCAGGCATCCGGGCACGTGGGACACTTCTCGCAGGTGTTGCCGTAGGAGCCGGGCTGGGTGCAGTCGCACTTGCCGCAGACGCAGGAGCCGTAGCCGCTGCACACCAGCCCGTTGCTGGACATGCACGTGTCGGTGCGGGTGGTGCAGTTGCAGTAGTCGCCGGTCCAGTCTGAGTCACACAGACAGTCCCCGCAGCTGCACTGCCCGTGGCCTGGGGACAACCCAGAGGGCATCAGGACCCCTTGAAGCGTCCCCATAGATCTCATTAGCAATCACCCTTGTGGGATGCCCATGTACCCAGAGCAGCAGCTCCACCGCCGTGGGCACGGCAGGGCAGACCAGCCGCCCAGGACAACCCCTTTCCACCGTCCTTGGGGTGGGCTCACTTCAAACCTCAGCCTTTGCCGTGTCCCCAACACTCACACTGCCAAATTTCAGGCTAAGCTGCCCCAGCTCTGGCAGGTTGGCAGCAGCAGCTGGAGATGCTCAGTCAGATCTGTCTCTGAGCTACTCAAGCTTTGGGTTTAACTTCAGCTTGAGTCAGGACATCTGGTAAAACCCCCCAAATCCCACTCATTGCCCAGCCCCAGACCAGGCAGGGGAGGGCAACTGCTGGGAAAAGCCCGGCAAGCTCTGTACGCTCACCAAGACTCATTTAATCAAACAGAGACAGACAGACATGCTCAAACCCTGCCAAAGCCTGGAGCTATTTGGATTGTGGCTTGATTTCAGCTCAAAGACAAAACATGGTGAGCGCTGGAAATGCCGCAGAGCCAGCACGCGCCAACCCGTCCCGAGCCCCGAGTGCACTGGGGCACATCGGGAACGCTGCTCCCAGCGGGCGATCGGCCGGGCACCATCCCCGCCATGGCCTCAGGGGCACCAGGATGAGAAATAAATGCGTAATGCTGTTGTTAATGAGGAACTAGGACTGAGTCACAGGAAAATAGATGCCACGCTGGGTGACAAGGAACGGAAACAGACGGGGAGGCTGGAGAGAAGTGGCTCAATGGGACGGGGTAGATGTCAAGAGGGTCAGACAGATCGGGTTAATTAACACCTCGCCCAGGCTGGGGGCAGTGCTTCGTCATCGCCCTTTGCCCCCCGGATGGGGCAGCCGATTGTGCAAACAGGCAGCGGGAGCAGGGACAGGCGCCCCGCTCCCCGAGGGCACCGACTCTTCCGGGTGGGGGAAGGCCCCAGTGTTCCCAGCTTGTTTCCAGCTCCGTTATGGGCAGGCTGTTCAGACAAAGGATCAATCCCAGCAGCACAGAGGCAGCCGTGAGCTGTCCTGTTGGGCTGGGGGGCAGGCAGGGTCCAAAGAACTCAGTTTGGGGACAGCAGGGAGCAGGAACCGAGTGTCACCGGGCCATCAGATTTCATCTCACCCAAGCTGGGCTCCAGCAGAGCGGGATCAGCTTTGGCCACCTGGGGATTTTTGAGCTTGCAGCAGCAAAGTGGTGGCTTTTTCGCACTGTGTTAGCAGCTGCCTCGCCTCGGCTCAGGGAGCGGGGCAGGGGATAGGAAAGGGGGTGGCTACCCCTCTCTCATTCCCCCCTTGGATCACTTTTGGGGGGCTCTGCTCCTGGAGAGGATGTGCCACAGCTTCATGCCCCAGTGCCGGGCGCTGCCATCCCTCTCACCTCCCCTGAATAAGGAGGAGATGGGGCAGAGCACTGGGGTTCGCTCAGACCTCCAGTGCTTACTGGAGATGCGGGTGGGAGAAATCCTAGATGGGGCTTCCCGATGGGGAAGAGGCCCTGGCACATCAGGACATCTGAGACCACCCTTGGGGCTTGGGACGGGTGTTTTGGAGAGAGGGGCTCCTTCCCCGGCTCCTGGTGCGGGAGGAGTACCCGAGGACCTGGCCCCCTCTCTCCACACTGAGAGCAGCAGCAGCCGGGGCTGGAGCGGGCGAGTCTGGTAGCACACAGAAGAGATGAATATTTAGGAGGGGTGATGCTGTAAGACCAGTGAAGGGGGAAAGATTTGCTTCCTCAGTGCTTTTTCCAAGGGGAGTCTCCAAGAACTGGGTGGAGGATAAAAATTGCCTCTTGCCACCCCTCTCCTTCCACCCTGGGGTTTCCCCCTGCAGAGCAATACCTCTGATATGTCAGGGACTGTGATTTGAGCAGGGTCCGGCCGGTCCCTGCCCTGCGCACCCCAGAGCCACTTCTCCTGGGTGCCCACCAGCCACCCCAGTGGGACCCCTGAGGCTAAGCAGGCACTGAGGTTTGCTTTTAACCCTTGGAGCCCATCACCCTGCCACGGCTCTTGGGCACAGAAGGTGATACCAGCTGCCAAAAAGGGAATAATTCCCCTGGCATCGCTTCAGACCCAGGGCTGGTCCAGGGAGAGCCACGGCTGAGCAAGCCGGAGGTGGGGACAATGCGTGGGACAAGCCCCAGAATAGCTGGCATCTCCCTTGTCCACGAGTTTGGGCAGCGTAAACGCTCCGAGCTGCCTCCCCTCCAAGCCCAGCACTCACCCGAGCACATCTGGCCCTTGAAGCGGACGCAGGAGAAGTCGTCGCACTCGCAGTACTTGCCCGTCACCTTCCCGAAGTCGCTGCTGTGGCAGACGCACTGCCCGCAGGTGCACTCGCCGCGCTGGCTGCAGAGGGGCTGGCCCGGCCGGGGGCTGCAGTTGTCCTGCTGCGAGGGGTTGTACTCCTCCTCCGAGCACTCGCAGTGCGAGCCCAGGCGCCCGGGGTTGCAGCGGCACACGCCGCACTCCAGCGTGCCGTTGCCCCGGCTGCAGGACGAGCTGTTGGCCTCGGCTTGGCTCTCGCAGGAGCAGTTGCAGTTGAAGTTCACCACCACCGTCAGGCTGTCCTTGAAGCCCACGGGTTTGATGGTGAAGGATTTCTGCCGCTCCCGTGGGCACCCCCGTACTTTGGCCTCGATGCTGAAACTCACCTGGAGGGCAGAGGGATGCGTCTGGGTGTCAGCACCCCTGGCACAGGATCGGGGTACCTGCTCCAGGATGGGCTCAGCTCCTCACCCATGCCCAAGCTTAAGAGGCCCAGAAATGGGACCCACCAGGTCTCTTTGGGCTTTTCAAAGCTGTCCCAGCACAGTTTGGGTTAGGGCACCTGCCTGTCACGGCACCCACGTCTAAATCAGTTCAAAAGCCCATTTGCTATGGCCAGCAGCATGAGCTGAGCTAGAGGGACCACAGACTCCAAAAGGATCCAGCAGACTCCAAAAAGCATTTTCTTCCTTGCACCCACACAGCTGGACCCCTCTCTCAACTGCAAAGAGTTTGCAGCGTGCCCTGCAAGGGTCTGAGCCACCCAGGAGGTGGTGGGGCAAGCAGACGGTGCTGGTGGAGAGCGTCAGATGAGCTTTGCAGTGGTGCTCAGCAACAGGACAAGGGACGATGGGTACAAACTGAAACATAAGAGGTTTCAGTTGAATATGAGGAAAAACTTCTTTACTTTGAGGGTGATGGAGCACTGGAACAGGCTGCCCAGGGGGGCTGTGGAGTCTCCTTCTCTGGAGATATTCAAAGCCCGCCTGGACGAAGTCCTGTGTAACATGCTCTAGGAGAACCTGCTTTAGCAGGGGGGTTGGACTAGATGATGTCTTGAGGTCCCTTCCAACCCTTGCGATTCTGTGATTCTGTGTGATTCTGTGCTGCTACATAGAGGGGGAGAGAAACCAAGCCCACAAACAGGATCCTCACCGTGTCCCCAATCTTGAGCCCCATGCAAGACTTGAGTCCGGGGATGACCTCATCGTTGAGGCAGGTGGCATTGAAGGCCAGGGACAGCTCTTCGGGGAGGTCACGCACCTCCAGCTCCACCTTGGAGCGAATTTTCTGGGGGAGGAGAGAGGAGCGATGAATATGACAGCACAGGCTGGGCAGAGCTCGGTCACGGGGAGGGGTCCCCCTGAGCACCACGGCGATGCTCCCACGCACATGGGCAAGGAGCCAAGTGCCCCGAGTCTTTCTCAGGACTCAGCTACATCATTCCCCACTGGGAAATGCCTTCGAGGATAGGAAGGGGCCAGCAGCAAACACAGTGATCTCCCTTCCCCCTGGGGTCCCCTCATGCGTGGGTGGAGGCAGATGCTCGCAGCTGGTCCAGGGAGGATGCTCAGAGCTGGGGAAGCTGCCAAATCAGTAAGAGCTGCTTGCAGTGTGAAGCAGTGGCTATTTTGGGAGGGAGAGAGCTGTTGTGGGGCCATCACACTGCACACTCACCCCGTAGGAGTCCACTATGAGCTGCAGGACGTTGCTGGAGTCTCTGGATAAGGTGCCCACAGTTGTGCCTGGGATCAGCTCACTGTAGTTCTGGAGAAATATGGTAAGCATGGTCTGCTTGCGACAGGTAAACATGCCATGGCTGAGCCAAACCATGTCTGGGCACGTGGGAGCTTCCCAAGGAGCTTTGATAGGACAGCAGGCCACTGGGCTATGTCTGGCCATGCCATGGCCAGCTGAAAAGAGTGCTCCTCGGGACCCACCAACCCCCCATGAAGGTGGCTTTGCACAGCAGCTGTTACCTGGTAGAGGCCCACGACCGTATCCGTCACAGCAAAGATCAAGTTGATGTTCTTCTGCGAGAGTTTCTCAGTCATCAGACCCAGAGAGGGATAGTCCTGGGGAAGGGGAGAGGCTATTCCCTGCAAACATGTGCCCCTAACCACCCTGGTCCTCATCATGCTCTCCAACCAGAGCTGGACCACCTTTCCCATCCCATGGGGACCCTCAACAGGAGCTCCAGGCTCCCAGCCCCACGTGTGGGTTGGGGTTTACCAGCGTGGTGGAGGCTGAGTAGAAATTATCCTTGTCAATGTGGCACTGGGCATCGTTGGGCTGCACGATGCCAGCCAGCCTGCCATCCAGCGCGATGTGGGTCTTGGCGTCTGTGGTGAAGACGAGCAGGTGGGAAGCGTCGTTCCTCCAGCCAATTTTCTCCTGCAGAGAGAGGCAGCGCCCAGTCACATGGCAGCATGTGCCGGCAGCAGCCCTACATGCCAGCACCCCACTGCCGCCTCCGCTGCCACCCTGCGGCCATGCCTTGGCCATGGGGACCAACCTGCCCCTGCAGAGGGAACTGAGGGCAATCGCTCTCCCAGGGAAGTGCTATGGGGGGGTGCGGGCTGTGGAGCCTGGCAGGTGGGCGTGGGCTGCTTGTACAGGTGAAAGACAGGTTTTAATTTGCTGGACTGTTAATCAAGGTGGTTAATGACCGAGGGATGCAACCCTTCTCATCTCCAACAAAACCAAGGTGCAGATGATGTCCCCTATGGGCTGGTTACTGCAGGGCTGACATGGGATCATCATCAGTCCCTGAGCACCAGCTCTGCTCCTCTCTCCTCCCAGGAGCACATGAGGGTCCTGCTCTTCCCTTGCCTTTGCTACTGGCCTAGAAATGTCATTGAACATTCAGCAGCTCCACAGAGCTTATGGCTTTGTCCTGGTGGAGTTGGGTGGTCCCTGCCCACCCACCAGGCCCACCCTGATGACCCTCTCCCAGCCCCAGCTGGGCCTTCTTGCCCCTTACGTCGCACACGGTGGCCTGGATGATGGCATCAAAGCCGCCCTCCGGTGCATCGCGGTTCCGTGAGACACTCTGCTTCCGCACCTCCTCGTTGAAGCGGGTCACCTCATCCGTGAGCGACAGGACATGTTTGTAGCCAAACATGGGCAGGCAGGTTTCCCCGATCCTGCAGGAGGAAAGCAGTCAGGGCATGAGGCTTGCAGGGCTCCCCCAGCTCCCATCCCACCCTGCAGCCACCCCACATCCCATGGTCCTGTCTGGGATGTGCTGGAGGCACCCAACCACTCCAAGAACACAGCTGGAGGCTGGTGAAGGACCTTGTAAAAATCAATCATCACATGTTCTAGTGATGCTGGACTCAGGTCAGTTCCCAGCCTCTGTCCTGCTGGGATTTTTAGGAGTCACTTTCTTTGAAACTCAACATCCTGCCTGAAAAATGGTGGAAAATCATTTCCTTAAGAGCTTTTCAGTGACAATGACACTTCAAAGTTTAGACCTGCTCTTCCTCCCTGTGCCAGCAGAACACGTGGTGCAGCAAAGCTTAAACCCTGCCCAAAATCAGGCACCCAACTCCCTGCTGAAATCCAGTGCTATGGATTTCCAGCCACATTCCAGTAACTTCTGGCCCTTACAGGACTCCCTCAGCCTGGGACTTACTCATAGCAAGGGTTCGTGATGGCTTGAGGAGGAGAGATATACATGTAGGGGGAAATGGGCTTGTCCACAAAGGCCCCAAAGCCGATGCGTAGGTTGCTGGTGAGCTTGCGCATCTCACTGGCCAGCTTGGTGCCCAGGTTCTGGATGTTCCTCAGATCGTCCTTCATGGAGTTGGACAGGTCCATCAGGTAATAGATGTCCACGGGGTAGTCTTCCACTTGACGCACTTGGACGCGAAAGATCTGGGAGTCATCTGTAACGTGACAGGACAGCGGAGTGAGAGATCCTCTCCTGGGAGTAGCAAAGGGGGCTCATCACAGGACTAGGGAGAAAGTCAACCT